TAAAAAATGGGCAGAGGAGCTGAACAGACAGTTGTCCAAAGAAGAAGTTCAGACACATGAAAAGATGCTCCACATCACTAGTCATCAGAGAAATGCAAATTAAAAGCACAATAAGATATCACCTCACACCAGTTAGGATGGCCGGCATCCAAAAGACAAACAACAACAAATGTTGGCGAGGTTGTGGAGAAATGGGAACCCTCCTACACTGCTCGTGGGAATGTAAACTTGTTCAGCCACTGTGGAAAGCAGTATCGAGGTTCCTCAAAAAGCTCAAAATAGAAATACCGTTTTACCCAGGAATCCACTTCTAGGAATTTACCCTAAGAAGGCAGCAGCCCAATTTGAAAAAGATAGATGCTCCCCTATGTTTATTGCAGCACTATTCACAGTAGCCAAGAAATGGAAGCAACTTAAGTGCCCATCAATAGATGAATGGATAAAGAAGATGTGGTACATATACACAATGGAATAGTATTCAGCCATAAGAAGAAAACAAATCCTACCGTTTGCAACGATATGTATGGAGCTAGAGGGTATTATGCTCAGTAAAATAAGCCAGGCAGAGAAAGACAAATAACAAATGATTTCACTCATATGTGTAGTATAAGAACAAAGAAAAAACTGAAGGAGCAAAACAACAGCAGAAACACAGAACCCAAGAATGGACTACCAGTTGCCAAAGGAAGGGGGGCTGGGGAGGATGGCTCAGAAGGGAGGGACAAGCAGGGGGGAAGAAAGGGGGCATTACGAATAGCATGTATACCATGTATAATGTGGGGGGGGCACGGGGAGGGCTGTGCAGCACAGTAAAGACAAGTGCTGATTCTACAGCATCTTGCTGCGCCGATGGACAGTGACTGCAATGGGGTTTGTGCGGGGGACTCGGTGATGGGAGGAGTCTAGTAAGCATTATGTTCCTCATGTAACAGTAGATTAATTATCCCAAAAAATTAAAAATTGAAAAAAAGAGTAAATATATAAATATTTATAGAGAAAAAGATTTGCAAGTTATAAACCAATATGTTAACAGTTTTCATTTTTGCTAATGGGAATAAGCAAAAATAGAAGGTAATATATCAAAATCTCAATTGTCAGGGTTTGCACAGTGTTTGCAGGATTTCAGCTGATTTTTTTTTCGGTTGTTACTTTAGTTATATTCTTACATACGCCGTAGTGATGTCAGGTTTCTGTAACCAAGATTCTGTAATATCCTTTGGTTGTTACTGACATATGGATGACCAGAGCATCTGGATTACTTGGCCTTTCTGAGCGGATGGGCCTCTGCTATTCAGTATGCACAGTTTAGCATTCTAATAGTTCTAAAGCCTTTGAGGTCTACATTTGTGGTGTAACATCTGTGGTGTGGGGAGAAAAATGGGAACAGATGTTAAGCAGGTAGTGCTCAAAAAGCAACAGAAACCTTGGAGAGATGTTGGAGACACTATGGCCATAGTCAGTGATCTTCTGGTTGTTGAGATGACAGGCTTGGTCTTGTATGACAGATGTTGGGGATTTTCCAGATCTACCTCAGACTCTGAAACCAATGACTCTTCAGCCTTACCTGTCTATCTAGATTTATAGTCCTTATCTATAGTTTTGCCTTATCCAAGGTTTATTTAGCTCTTCTTGACTTCTACCTGGCTGACCTACGTTCAATAAGTAGTAAAACTAACCAGGAATAATATTCAAAATATTTAACAACCCAACTATAGAGGTACTAACAAATAGGATAGGTTCTGAAAGCTTCTAATTAACTTATTAGTGACTGGATCATGAAATAGTACGTGGTGGTCGTCGTGATAGTGGTGGTGGGAGGGCCACCAGAGCCATGGTGGGGGAGATCTTAGGAAGTTGGAGAAACAGCTGTTTGCCAACTGGCATAGAAATATTTCAGTATTTTACACTGACATGACAGTGCTAGTGAGTAACAGTAGCTAACATGTATCAATCGCTTGCTATGTACTGTACATAGACCTGAGCAATTGACATGTAATCTTCAGTCAGTGAATATATAGTCCACAAAAAAATACTGTGGGTATTTTTGTTTTACAGGAGAAATTTGATAAAAATTCTAACTCTTAAAATTTATGATTTTGTTTTTAATTTTATCTCTTATATTTAACTTTACAAGTGACTGATCAAAATTCTTTCTTTGAAGGTTGTAGGAGAGATTAAGTAGGATTATGAATATGAGTTAAATCCTGAAGAATTTGTATTATTTCCTTTTCTTGGCACTAGATTATTGAATAGCATGTTCATTCAAATGGTGTTTTTAATTTCATTTTTCTGAAATAAAAGAATGTTAACATCAATATTTTAGTAGATGTTAGAAAACAATAATAAACAAGAGGAACTTCAATTATAAATTTTAATTTTTTAAGAAAAAAATTTTTTTAAGTGTTAACAATTATGGGTAAGAGTAGTGCTTCCATTATCAATATTTCTATTTTTATTACCATGTTTAAGGAATTATAATTTAGATCTTGTTTCTATGATTTTAAGTAGTTGAAATGAACATGCTGGTTAATTTTATTTTTTATTTAGTATCTTTGCTCCTGTACCTTGGTGGCCTTTCAATGTAAGTTTGGAAATTTTATGTTTGTCAAAATAAAAAATGGTATTGCACAGTCATTTCAACAGAGCTTATTTTAAAGCTTTTTTGGGCTTCAACCTTTTCCCTCATCCTACAACTACAATCCAGTACATGTTGAATTTCAGCCAGCTAGAAAAAGGAGAAGCTAGAGACTGAGGATCAAGGTTTGTATAGCTAAATATATTTAAGGAAGGTCTTCTTGCCTTTTGTATATTTTAATTGTTTGAAATCAGTCTGGCTCTGCCAATTCTTATGGAACTAAGAGTGACAGCATACAGAAAAGAGGAAAAAGAAGATATTTGTTAGAAACTAGAAGTGATAAGCCGAATTCTGCTTGCTGCCCTTTTCCTGGTGTACTCCAGTTTGGTGTTTTGGCTCAAGGCTAGAGGTTGAATGGACTGTACACTTCCTGGGATACTCACTAGCCTCCTTTACATGTCTCTCTTTGACCATGGGCAGATCATTCAAGCCTTCCCTGATTCACTTCTCATTTGTTAAACTGTTTTTTGTTGCTCAACTCCCTCTCTCTCTGGGTTGCTCTGAAAGGCCGAGGTACTTGCTGTGAAAACATTCTGAAAGATCTGAGCACCTCCATAAATATGAGAGAATGTTATCGAACTTCTCATGACAGTGATTTGTTACATGCTCTTGAGCCAGCCACCTAAATTCCTTATTCCTCCTTTTGTCTAACACAGGGAAAATTTTAGTTTAAAGAGAGGTAATACTCAAAATACTGTACAACCAGTATAGCATGCATAGCAAGGAATCAGGGCAGAGGGCTGAACGTGAGCAGTGAGAATGACTGCCCAGTAGTTATTAGAACAGGATGCATGTTCTTCTGAGAATCTCAAGGAGGCTTGGAGGCACCTTTCTCAGATACCTCTACTTGATACCTGAGCCCCAATCCAGAATTCAGAACCACCAAATTTCCAATATATTTGGAGATATTGCTCTTCTGAGTTGGTAGTCCAATTCTTGGATTTAGAACTTACTTTCTTTAGTTAATAGATTGTAGTCCTGATTTATGTGTGGTGGGGTGGGCATGATGTTCAGACCTCTGCTCTCTAGCCCTTTGGCTCTTTGACTTACATCATGCAGCATGAGACCTCTGATTTCCACATGAGACTACTGAGCGAAAGGCATACATACTCACACACAGTTATTCTTTTGGGTAATAGGGATTGCAAATGTGGCTCCCAAATGTCATATTTGAATTATCTCTCCATAGAATCTTCTCTAAGAGCCTAGTTTCAGTTATCATGATATAGACAGATGTATTTTAGTAGTTTACAAGTGATATTTAATCATCAGGTTTGAAGTAGTGATGTTTCCAAAGGACAGGATGTAGTAGAATTGAACTCCCTTGGATGCCTATTCTAGACAAATTTCCTTAAATTTGTGGCTTAGCTTTTGTAGTTATGATGCATGGAGCCTTTCTTTTGTCTAATGTATTAATTTAGAATTATCCATTTTTTGTTGTTGAACTTTAATCTCTTTGGGTATATACTTGAATTCTGGATACTGTTCCCACTGTAGTAGCCTTAGATGGAGAAAGAGGGTGGTGAGCTGGGAGGGAAGCCATCTGTGCAAACTAAAATCTACTTCCATACTCTTAGAAGTTGGGGAGGAAGTAGATTAATTGATGGGGTCCGGATATGCTTCTCTCTATTTTTTTAAATTAAAGTATCATTGATACACAATCTTATGACGGTTTTACATGAATATTGTGGTTTCAACATTCATCAATATTATCAAGTCCATACCCCACCCATTGCAGCCACTATCAGTGTAGTAAGATTCTGTAGAGTCATTACTTGTTTTCTCTGCACTGTACTGCCTTCCCTGTGACTTACCTGTATTGTGATTCAGATATGCTTCTCTTAATCTATCACTGTATTATCCAGTTTCTAATATCCATTCCTCTCTTCCCTTTACTGCCTCCTCCTTGTTGTGTTAGTTCCTTTGTTAAGAAGTCTTTTATGCTTCTTGCTTTAGCAGAATAAAAAAATTCATATTTGCCGTATTTTCAGAATATCATCTCCAAAGTTTTAATGACCAAGGATTATCTGTCTTTTGTATTGTGGTTAGAAAAATACATGCAACCAGAGGATTTTTTTTTCTTTTTAAGTTAAACATACAGTGAAGGTAATATCAAGCTCTTCTAATCTTTCCAAATCAGTAAAATTTAATTGCTGATTAAAGTATGTTCTTGGGTTACCACAATTCCTGGGATTCTAAACTAGATAGACAATAATCAGGTGAAAAGATAGGGAAAAAATGGTCTCAGTTTGGATTCATCATTAAGTCCTCAGTTTCTGGAATGAAGGGACGAAAAGAGAAGTTTGCACATACACAAAATTGCAAGCACATCTCAGCTTGATTGAGTCTTGTTGCTTCCTGGTAGGTGAAGATATTCTGCTCTTTATATTGGATTGTAGTTGTAAAATGGGGAAACAGGAAAACTATCACCACCACTATTTGAGGTAAGTAGTTTCTGATTTCCCTTATTTGCGCATGCAGGGCTTTTTTGCCCTTTTTGTAAAGCAGTGCTGGTTAGAATAGTAAGGAGGAAATGTTTAAGTGTGGAAAAAGGGTCAAAATGGGAGTCATTATCTTTATGAATTGAAAATCCCAGTCACCTTCTGGATGACAGATATATATGTTAGTCTCATTACTAGCAGTTAAGCTGTGTTCCTACTTTGTAACATATTCCTCTCTAATAATCCTTTGACTATGCTTCTTTTTTATTTGAATTCTTGAGCATTGATTTGCAGGAAAAGGGAGATAGGGAATGGAAGGGTTTTGGTAAAAATAGGTGACAGATAATTTAGTTCTCGAAAGAGTTAAAAATGAACAGCTTGAAAATAGAGTGGGAGAATAATAATAGCTAGCATTCAGATATAATATTTACTATGTATCAGTGATTATTCTAAGCATTTACATATATTAACTCCCTTAATCTTCATAAAACCTTATTTTAGGTAACTATTATGATGTCCATTTTATAGGTAATGAAATTGAAACCTAGGTTAACTAACTTGCTCAAGGTCATACAGCTAGTTAGTGGTAAGAGTCTAATTTGAGCTCAATTAGACTCACTGTAGACTCCATACACTTAGTCTCTTTTGACCACTTGACCAGTTTTGACCACAAGTCAAAAATAAATAGTTTAAAAAATAAATTCGCTGAAATGAGAAAAGTTACCAAACCGAGAAAGTAATGCTAGTGCTGGATTACAGACAGGTAGACTACACACATGCTTAGGTCCCCAGCAAAGCAGGGACATTTGGTATCTTAAAAAATTATTGATAGAGTTATTGTGAAGAATATCAGAACTTAGTTGGATATCCTCAAGCTTACTTCACAGTGTAGTATTGTTTTTAGTTTGAACAATGCAAGACATCATCTTTTTTGTACTTAGAGCTTAATATATAGCCTAAATCCAGCCCTGTAGAGGGCTTCATAATTTTATACCTAGAGTGAAAGGTAAAATACGATTATCAGAAAAATATTCCTTACTTTCCTCTCATTCCAATGATAAGCATTTAAAATCATTAAGTGGTTTTTAAGATTTATCAGACTGCAAAATTATTAAGAATCCTCTCCCTACTTTCCAAGGTTTAAAATTATATTTAAGTTATTAAATTGCTTTTAGGAATATTGAGCAATGACAACAAGAATTCTGTAATTTTTACATTCTTGTGTTAAGTAACAAAATTCAACTGAGTACATTGAAAGATCAAATTGGTTTTATTTAGTGATTCGTGAATCTGGCAGCACCTGGCCCAGCAAGAGGAAGGACTCCGAGGAACTGTGGGAAATGGCAAGCTTTTTAGCAGAGTGGAGAAGGGATAAGGAAAGAGCGGGTTACCTCATTACCTCATCTTCCTTTTGGGGATGGAATGGGTCTATGTGCAGATCACCTCATTGGTACTGACCAGAAAATTCCAGACTGACCTGGTTAAGACCAGATTTCTGGTGAAGGTTGACACTGCAATTAGGTTACGTATTAAGCCTTGGTGTGGTGACATGGGCTTAGCACAAATTACTTACTTCATTTGGGGCCCAGTTGTTTTTCTTTAGGAAGATTTGATTGTTCAAATTTAAAAGAAATATACCATGTAAAACCATGGGGAAATAAATTGGCTGTAAAGCTGCAAAACTCGATCATGAGTTCAGCATTCTACTAATCAGTTATGTTATTTTTTATAATTCTCTGATGTATAATTAGGTTATGCCAATTGTTCGCCTCACTCATGGTCTTGCAACTTTTAAGCTAATGTGTCCTTTGCCTTTACAGATTTCTGGGTATAGTCATTTTCTACCAATTTGTCAGTTTGACCACTTTGTTAATTCAATTATTTCATATTAAGCCTCTTGAAGCCCTTAAGAAGACAATTAGAAGACTTGGAACATGTGAGAAGGAGAGGAGGAATAAATGGAACCAGAGAGAGCAAATTGGAGAGGCAAGATCAAAGTGACCCAGATGAGGGAAGAGAAAAAAAAAAAACAGGAGTTGTAAAAATTTACGGAAGTTGTAGAAATAAAATGGATAGTTGGGAAAATCCTAGCAAAACCTGATGTTTAATCAAATTGTGTCAGCATGAACAAGCCTTAAAATGGTTAGCCTTTTGACTCTCTTTGATATTTATTAAACTTTTTAATATTAATCATTCCATTAAGGGTGGAGCTAATGTATAGATAATCTCTCCTAATTTTTAAAAAAAAATTTTCCTTGCAAACTCTTAAGCACAAGCTGCAAAAAATTAAGCCAACCTGCAAAGATACATAGTTTCATAAATATCTGGATAATAAGGTATTTCCTGTGACTTTAAGGTTATTGCCAAACCTCAGGAACACCACATTTGTACTATATCAGTTTAAGTTCAGTTTATAAGAGGCCATTTGGAAAAGTCACTGCCTTGAATGCCAGACATGGCTGGTTTGAATTCCAGTAAGTAGAAAACAAAAAACATTAAATAGTTCAAAAATAAATGGTTTAAAAACAAATAGTTCAAATAAGGAGCTCACAATCAAACTGGCTGATCTGGGGACGCTAATGGAATTGCTGAACTAAAAATTTAAGTTTAGAAAGTACTAAGCAAATGTTTAACATTTGGGAATAATAGGGAAAGCAGCATACGTTGCGGTATGAATCAGAAAACGTAGCACTAAATCCTACTCTGTGATACAGAAACTATGTAAGTATGGTCAACTTAACTACTTGGAGTCTCAGTTTTCTTATTTGTAAAACAGGAATAATGATGTCCACCTTGTAGGATTGTTGGTGGTGTTTGGCATGTGAAGATTAGAGGTCGTATTTGTAAAGTATCTGGTATGGTGCAGTTGGCATGTAGTACACAGTCTTAATTTCTGTGGGCAGGCTAAAAAAGGAAAGTTTAAAATACCACTTACAGCTAAACCGTAGATATGCTGATCATAAATCAGCCTTTCTTCCATGAGTCTAACCTGTTCTGACCATCATTAGGCTAATTTTGAACCAAAGCATTGCTTGTATTAATATTAGATTGCCTTACTTAACATATTCAAACTGACTTCCCTCTCATTTTCTAAAGGAAGTGAGTTTTTATCATTCTTGAGAGAACTAAGGGTTGCTTGTGTTTGGAGTCAGATGCTGTATCGTTGCACCATGTGGTCCTGCATGTGTTTACATTAAAATATTACCTGTATATGAACTGTTAGTTGTTATTTAAGATAATGTTATAATTACCCAGGTAGAGATGCCATGAAAGATACCTAGATAATAATGTAAAGAACATACTTCTCCAATTCATTTATAAGGAATGGCAAATTGATTTATATTTTTTGGGGGGGACTAATGGAAGCTCTGGAAGTTAGTATAGGGTTAGGTTTGGGCTGACAAAAATGGATGTGAAATTATGTATTTGCTAAATAAGTAACTGGGGTAAGATATCTCAGGCCTTTTAATGTAATAAACAAATACTAAAAAATATTTTAAACTAAAATGTTAAATCATAAAAGGCCAAGGACATGGAAATCACATTAAATTGACACTCCACTATGACTAGTTTGCTATTCTAACCCAAATTTGTGGCAAAAAAATTTTATTTTTGTTTGGTAAGACTAATAAAAAGATCAAATTATCATGTTAAAAATATAGTAAGCCTTCACAGAAAAAGAAAGTCCTGACAATATCTTGCATTCTTCATTTCCAACTTGGGCCCAGAATAGCTCCCACAAAGAAGGGTGGGGAGAAAAAAGGTGCCGGCTGTGAGGCGGTGACCAAAGGGTATACTGTTAGCATGCATAATTCCCATGGGGTGGGCTTCAAGATGTGTGCCCGGTGGGTACTCAGATCCAGCAATTTTCCATGAAGGGGATGGGCACTCCAGATGTATACATTGACACTGGGCACAACAAAGCCATCTGGGCCAAAGAAGAAGGAGTGTCCCATCCTGTATCTGTTATGGTTGTCCAGACAATATAATGGCGATAAAGATTCACTAAACAAACTGTATACGTTGATTACCTATGTACCAAATAGGAACCACTTTACAAAATCTGTCACCACTTTCAAATATCTATACAGTGTGAATGAGAACTGACCAATAATGTCAAGTAAAGCTATAAAACTACCAAAAAGGAAAAAAAGAAAGCAAAAGAAACTCATATGAGAAGCCAAAAGAACACAAGAGAATGCTTTTTGACCTTCAAATGTTGGGAGAATTATCTGATAATTGAATATTCTGACTGTCTAATAATCATGTAATACTTATGAAAAGTCAAAGAAATAGGACTTCTTTTATAATTTAATGACATAAATTTGCACAATCTTTCTGGTGGACAATTTCTATTAAAAGTTTTACCCTTTGACCTAAGAATTCTATTTTTGAAATTTATCCATAATGGGAATGATACACAAACATACTGAATTCTAAGGACATTCACAGAAACAATTCTAAAGCATTGTTTGCAATTACAATGTCATATAGCACATTATGGGCACAATCTAAATGTCCAATAGGATTGTTTTAATAATTGATGGTATTTCCAGGTAATATTTTTCTCACATGGAAAGACGTTCACAATATAAAGTAGAAAAATAGATTACAAAATAGAATTATGTTATTACAAGTTATAAATATGTGCATGTATGTAAATGTACACATCAAAACATTTGAATTATTTAAGTAGTTCTTACTAGAGGGTGAGTATGTGTATTTAATTTTTTAGACTGTATTTTCTAATTTTTCTACACTGAAAATTTCTTTGATACTTTACAAAAAATAGATTTTTTAAATTAAAAAACAACTCAGTTTGAAATTTGAAATCATATTGATAAAAATCTAGAACTTAGTACTAAATTTGCTTATCAGAAGATTTCATCTCTGAAATGTATTGTTTCTATGAACTTGAACATTTATATTTTTATTATGTTTAGTCATGACAAATTAACCTAAATTCTAAAAAAGAAAATAATAATGATTTGAAGTTTTCTTATAAAAAATGAAGTTCTATTTTATTTAATTTATTTATTTATTTATTTTTTCAGAGGGCATCTCTCATATTTATTGATCAAATGGTTGTTAACAACAATAAAATTCTGTATAGGGGGGTTAATGCTCAATGCACAATCATTAATTCATCTCAAGCCTAGTTCTCGTCAGTCTCCAATCTTCTGAAGCATAACGAACAAGTTCTTACATAGTGAACGAATTCTTACATATTGAATAAGTTCTTACATGGTGAACAGTACAAGGGCATTCATCACAGAAACTTTCGGTTCTGATCACGCATTATGAACTATA